TGTTGCTTTGTTGCTTTGTTGCTTTGTTGCTTTGTTGCTTTGTTGCTTTGTTGCTTTGCTTCTTTGTTTGTTTGTTTGTTTGTTTGTTTGTTCGTTTGTTGAGCGAGTGAGAGAGTGTGTGTGTGTGAGTGAGAGCGAGTGAGTGCGAGTGAGTGTGAGTGAGTGTGAGTGTTTGTGAGTGAGCGTGAGTGAGTGAGTGTGAGAGAGAGTGAGAGAGAGAGAGAGATAGTGAGAGTAAGAGTGAGAGTGAGTGTGAGTGAGTGCGTGCGTGCGATCGTGAGTGAGAGAGTGAGAAAGTGAGTGAGTGAGTGAGTGAGTGAGTGAGCGAGCGAGCGAGGGAGGGAGTGAGTGAGTGAGTGAGTGAGTGAGTGAGTGAGTGAGTGAGTGAGTGAGTGAGTGAGTGAGTAAGTGAGTGTGAGAGAGCGAGCGAGAGTGTGAGTGTGTGAGTGAGTGAGAGAATGAGTAAGAGCAAGTCATCACACTTCAATCGTCGAGCCAAAAGGTAGCGGGCAGATTGCATTCGGGTTCATATTATTATTCTTATCATTACTATAAGTATCAGTATTTGTTTGTTAGCTTGCTTGTTTGTTCGCTTGCTTGTTGGTTTGCTTGCTTGTTTGCTTGCTTGTTTGTTTGTTTGTTTGTTTGTGTATTTGTTTGTGTTTACTTGTGTTCGTTTGTGTTTGTGTGTGTGTGTGTTTGTTTGTGTTTCTGTGGTTGTGTGTTAGTTAGGGTGTGTGTGTGTGTGGTTGTTTGTGTTTGTGTGTGTGTTTGGTTGAGTTTGTGTGTGTGTGTGTTTGCGTGTGTGGTTGTTGTGTGTCGCGTGGTTGTGCGTGTTATTACGGGCATGTTCCGCAAGACACGTGCAGAAAAAAGCTAGGCGCCCCTACGTAGCTCATTATCTGGCCAGTGGCACAGGCCTCAGTTTCCTTTTGCCTTGGACACTGGCGCGCTTTTTGAGGACTGGCCCGCGAAATGAGCATGACCCTGGAGAATGTGATAGAGGCCAAGGCCTGGCCGGAGATTTGCGCCTGAGCGGGATGTTGGCAATGACTCATTGCGCATGCGGCCAAGTATCCAGGAGACATATAAGGCATTTTTCCGCATCCGAAACACGAGAGGAACAGGGATGCCACTCCGGTGGGAGTGATGAGAGAGAGGAGATTTTCGACGAGCACGATGTGGACAAGTCCGGGCGTTTGGACTTGGGGGAGGTGGCGAAGGTGATTGAGAGCTTGATGGAGCCTTGGCAAAGACTTCTGACCACCAGCATGTGCGGTAATCTCCAGGCTTGGCACGCGCAAAAGCAGGCAAGGGTTGCTGGGATGTCAACACTACGACGCCTTGGCTTCTTGGTCCGCTTGCTTTTTTCCCAGCCGCCGCCATGGCCGCTAGCTGCACCGGGGCATTTGTGGCAGAGCCACAATCAAAGCCAAAACGCCAGGGTTGGGTGCGGAGATCCGGCCTTTTGATTCTTTACATGTTTATGTAGAGATAGGATTAGGCCACTTGAAGAGGATTCGAGCAGATTTCTATTTAGTCCCTCGAGCACTCCCGTGAGCCCTGAAGTCTTGTGGCCTTGATACAGACATCGACCTGGCAGGCAGACCCTTCACTCAACAGTCAAATTCATTCGGACCCTTCCGGGAACAAGCCATTCGTTAACACCAAGCGCGCGGTTTTGCTGGGTGCGGTGCCTACCAGCTCGGTGGTTTTCTCCACTCGATGGACCCCTACTTTCTGGCACTGGCAGTGCAATCCACCCGGTTTTTCCTGAAATCCCGCCATCCATTGGTCCATACATTCCGTCTATGTTTGACCAGAGCTGGAGTTTGGTGCCGTCCCCGCTCGGTGAAACTGGGATTCTTGGGTGTTGCTTGCTATCTTTTTTAGCCTCTCGGAACCTTGGGGAAGCAGCACCATCCCCTCAAGCTTTGGCATGCCTGGACCTTCCTGCATGCTCAAAATTTCTGCCTTTTCGCTAGGAATTGCCTTTTGGGGCAATTGCTCGAGTTTTTTGCCCAGGGGCTTTTCTTGCTCAATTGGGTGTTCAGCGCAATCTCCCCGAATCTACAGGCAAAAATTCCCGACAAGCAGGCGAACATTCCCGACCAACAGGCGAACATTCCCGAATGACCGCCGGCGTTTTTTCGCCCTACAAACATTTTTCCACACCAACGGCCAGAAACACGTGTTGCCAACGCCTGAAAATTGTTAACCCCCGGAAGGTCCAGGTATGTCGCCAGATGGATCGGCGTCAAACTGATCTTGCGGGAAACAAAGCCCTGCTCCGAGAGCCGAGATGTACTCTTATGTCAATACTTGCCATGTGAAATGGCCACCATCCTGTGTGAACGGCCACCTTATTTCCATATGCTGAGTTGAGGCGTAACATGGCTTAACCCACTCCCCCAACAAACAGGCATAGCACTCGGCTTTGGGGATCCTCAAACGTCGGTTTGCGCGAAGGAACGGCAGGTGCCGGATGAAAGCTGCGCAAGGCAGCGCATCGAGGCTGGCCACTCCCAGCAGTGCCTCGGTCACAGCACCAGCACGGGGCGAACTGTTTCTCGTTCGGGTGTGTGTTTGTGTGCATGTTGTTTTGTGTGTGTGTGTGTGCGTGTTCCCCCCCCCCCCCCCGCCACCAAGAAAATAACTGAACTAGACAAAGCTTGCCGTCTTTCACCGAACTGAACTAGGTAGTTTTCGGGGGTGTCGTTTTAAGGAGAAGCAGCCATGTAGGTTGGTGATGAAGGCGAAGACAAAATTGACCTCTTGGGGACCCCCTTTTGAGACTCTCATTTGTGCTTGTGTGTGTGTGTGTGTGCATAGGGTTCCCCCCCCCACCCCAACAAAAAAGAAGCAGAGGTGTTGGTTTTCCTTTGGTTTTCCTTTGGGGCTCCCGCTAAACTAACTTCAAAGGGTACCTCAAATTTTGCGGAGCCATCTCTGATTCTATGGCACCCACCAGTCCATTTCATCCAGGTGCCTCACAGATGGGTTAGGCTATGAATTTGATTGGAGCAGTTGGGGTTTGGAGCTGGGAAAGAGACCTCCAGTTCCCGGTTTGTTAGCTTGTGGTGGGACCTCGTTGCTTTCCTGTCAAGGTGCGTTCTTTCCCTTTTTTGCAGGGGGTCCCATAAGTTAAACTCAACTAATCGACTTCCAGTTTTGGAGGTTCCTGTGTAAAATTCGAATAACCAACAACATGCCCATTTCCTCCATGGTCAAGGGTCTGGGAAGGATGTTTAGTTGGGGTTGGAACATGGGAAACAATAGTCCTTTTAGGAAGCGAACACGCAACTTGGTCAGACAAACTCGTATTGGGTGTTCACAGTCGACTCATACCACGACCCCAGAGGCTGAATGATGGTCAATGCCAAGCCCATCGTTTGGAGGGTGTTTAGAGGTACGGCAATCAGCTTCCCGAATTGGTGGTTTGGGTTTGGCGGTTTGGAAGTTAGGGGGTGGTGTCCCATTTACCCTCTACCAAAGCCAGGGGTTCCCTGTCCCCCTCCCTCAAAATTTGCATTCACTGAATACTTGTAGGCATGCGTTCGCTTGCGTTCCAAAGCCACGAGACCTTGCAACCTACACAGCCTGCTTCCCATTCACCTCAAGTCCGCTGAGGTTGCTGAACTCCTGGCTGAGGCCCGCTGGCTGCAGTGTTCGACCTGCGAGCTGTCTAGAGAGCTTCAAGCAAACGGTCGGTGGGAACATCCCGAGGGCCGAAAGGCCAGAAGCACTTGAGCTAGCTTGAGGATTTGTATTGGGCGGAGCTCCTGGAAAATGAGCAAAGCAGTCTGAGACCTTTGACAAATAAGTGAAAGCCGCAACGCAGAGGTAGACATGGGGTGTCCGTAGAAGGACGCATAAGCATGCGCAGAGTGTTGGAACATTCAACGGTTTTGCGAACTGGATGTGATCCATTGGCTGCTTCCACACGCATGGTGCACAGGCTTCTCCTTGCTGAGGCAGGCTTGGTGGAACGTGTTGGACCCTAAAGGAAGAAGAGTTTGGTTTTCAAATGCTGTGAAGATGATTTGCCATCAACGAGCGTTTCAGTTCACTTGCTAATTTCGTTTGGAACTACACTCATCCCTGCATTGCGATGCCTGCAAGCTAGTAATGCCGAGGATGTCAAAAGCATGAAATTGTGTACTTTACCACCCCGAAAGAACAAACCCCGTTTTAGACGCCCCTTACCTCAAGCATATACCAGTTCCTTGAGTCGACAGTCATGAAGCTTTCCTGAGGGCTAGGGAGTGTCCAATGAATTCGGCTTTCAATCTTTGGTCGGTCACTTGTTTTGTTGTTTTGCTGATCCCCAGATCCCTGTATGCCTCCCTGTGCCTGAGACCCCATCACAAGAACATGTTGAACACTGCGCCAGCTTCAGATCCCTTTGACAGGCTTTGTCTTCCCAGTTCAGCGGCACCCTTTCCCCTTGTGGGCTTGTTACTCAAAATGAACGCCAACGTCCCCTCAAAGCACCCGCTCGACTAAATCTGTGATTCGATCAATCCCAAGAGTGACTCATAGCACTCATGGAATCCCAACGTGCTAAGTTCCCACCGACAACAGCATGGAAGTGCCCGGTTTCCCTTGGACACTTTTCCTTTTGGAAGAGCCTGTGCGCTTTCGTGACCGAAAGAGAAGCCGGCTCTTAGGTTTGTGCCGCAGGGCACGACTGACCTCTCCTTCGAGGACTTCCTCCTGTGGTATGCGTGCCACGGTCTGCCCGCAGTGAGCTGCTGTTGAGTAGCGAGCTTGTTGGATCTTTATGTAAAACAAGAAGTAGCCAATCACTCGTTGCTGTACTCATTTGCCACTTCCTACCTGTATATCAAGTGTTTTACTTTAACTATTGCAAGTCGAACTTATTTGTAACTGCCGGGCCTCCCGGCAGATCTCAACACCAAGCTTTCACGCGAGGTCCTTCTTTCATGGAACGTTCATTGTTTACCAAGAACAAGGCAGTGTTTGCCATTGGCCCACAG